ACTTTTGACTTTCAAATGTATTTATGGCCTAGCGCCAACTTATCTTAGCGATCTTATTAGTATAAAATCGAATTCATTATATAATCTTAGGTCTACTGGTAAGCTCGTATTGGACCATCCCAAGGGAAAGATGCTTACAACTTTGGGAGCAAGATCATTCTCAGCAGCAGCTCCGAAACTCTGGAATGAGCTACCTGTGGAGCTTCGCCAAGCAACATCACTTAACAGTTTTAAATCTCGACTTAAAACCTATCTTTTTAAAAAGTATTTTTTACAGTTTGTAACTTAGTTTATTTTATTCTCACGGTAATGTATTTTCGTTTTCTTTTCAACACATGATTGTAAAGCGCTGTTGATCAGCAAATGTAAATACGAGCTATATAAATTCGTAAATTATTAAATTATTATTATAAAGTAGTTCTATAGAGTCCTTGAACAGAAACGTTATTGCTTGAATATACTTTATTGTTTTACGTCATCTTCATTATTTCATTCCATTAACGAACTCGACAAATTGGCCTGCTCCCAATGCATGGATCTTCATAGCTAAATTGGTGGAGCACTGCAGCGCTAAAGCAGGGGCCATGGCTTCGAGTCCGTTTGAGATCCCGAAACTTTTTTCGGGTTTATTTGGCGACGATCGCAGTTCACATTTTTAATTTGCCGCGTTTTCATCACAGGAACCGAGACACTGCAACCTGTTCGTATGCACCAATTTCCTTCTAAACCGACATGAAATTCATGTCACGAAACGGAAAGAAACTTTTTGCACATAAACACCAGAGTCTTTTCAAAGAAAACGGTGGGATGCGATGGATACCGAGCCAACTCCTGGTCGTACTAACCAGGATCATTTGAAGTTAGCTAAGGCATGTGAGGCGAGGGCCCGTTTATTATAAGCGGTCTTTGCCTGAATATATAAATAACACCCGTCAAGGAAAAAGGAGCAAACGTAAAACAAACAGTTCAGTAAAATTGACAAGGAAGTGAATGCGTGCTCTATGACTTAATATCGAAAAAAGGAACTGGGAATAGACACAAATCCAAATAATAGATAAGTGAAAATGTGGAACTATGTCTGTCCTAAGTTTGCGATAACAAATGAGATGCAGATATGATATTACGCCTCAATCTGTACTGCTTGTTACTCGATTCCAACAAACTAAGCAATTCAGTCTTGACTACTATTTCATTGTGATGTTGTATCATTTTAAGATACGGCGTTTTCAGAAAGTGTTGAACGAACATTCTCTGGGTACTAGAGGCTTTTTACTCGCGTGCGGCGGGACGGCTTTGGTATTGGCCGACAGAACGTCTGCCAAAGTCCGAAACTACGAGAGGCGTAGCCGCAAGAAAAAACCTTTTGCGCAGATTATTAGATAGAAGGACTTGACCGAATGAACAGAAACCATGTACAAAGACTATGCGGTAGAATAGAAAGCTACGAGACTAAAATTTGAGACTTTGAGACTATAATCTATTTTTTCATATGAAAGAAAAGTCTCTACAGGTAAAAAATGCAAGAATACACAACAGAAATTGCTTGATGGATGTAATCTACTTTTTGAGAAACATCTGTTGGAAAAAACCCATCTGTTTAATTATTATTCATTCAAAATATTTCGCTCTTTCTGATTGGCTCAATTCCCCAGCTAATTCTCTTTTACCACCAGGCGTTTACCATATTTGGAAAATGTATGCAATAACCCATCGATTCAAAGGGGTCACATCTAGCAGCCTCGTTTTCAGGTAACAATCGCTTTAGTTGAGCAGAGATTTAGAAC